TGTTTCTGAGCAGCTGCATTTGATCACAACCTGGGGGCTTCTGTTCTGGCATTTTACCTGTACTGTGTCATACTGGGTTGGTATTCATTGGTGGTTCTGCAGTGGAGATTTCTGACAAATTCTGTCATTTGTTTGCCCTACAGGCAGGTTCTTTTATGCATGGTGAAACTGTATCTTTTGTTTTTTCTGCTGCAAGATTTTCAACTTGAAAAAAGTCACCGTGGTGCTGTTTTATTCCATTCCTGCCTTTATTAGCAGAGTACCCTAGTCACTGAACAACACCAGCTAGTATTTTGACAGTGCCTTTGTGTTGGGGAAGAGTTCTTTTAGATGATTCGTATACTTTTATCCTATCAACACCTAATATATTTTGTGCTTTAATACTTAAAGAAATGTTCTGTGCCCTGTTTCATATTGTCTCACAGCTACCCTGTAACATTCACTCTCATATTTTAAACTTTTCAGTGGCCATTTTTACTGGCCCTCTTTTCATTTCCTCAAACCAGCTATGCTTCCTGCCACCACAGAGCCTTTGAACATGGTGGTACCTTTTCCTCGAATATACTTCCTCTTAACTCCTTCCTGCTTTCAGTGAATTAATGAATACTCATCTGTCAAATCTAAATTGAAACATCACCTGCTACGAAGGAGGTCAGGTAATTTTGGTATATTCTCTGAAGGGATCATATTAGTTGTCTTCAAATCCTCATTCATTTATTGTATGATTATTTAATATTTAACTCTCCCACTATACCATAAACACCATGAGAATGAGTGAATAGTTCTTAAATTATACATATGGAAATTAGGCTTAGAAATCTCAAATAGCTTGACCAAGGTCCTACCACAACTGAGTAGCAGAGGCAGAACTTGAACCTAGGTCTTTTATTTCCTAGTTTCATGATTTTTCTATTAAACACAGCTGCTCTACACTTCTAAGTCAGCCCTAATTTTAAATATATCTTCCATCTTCAAGTCGTTTTTTGTTTTATTCCTTGCAGGTGACCAGGATAACTGTGATCCACACCTTGAGTGTAGTTGCAGCTTTAAAGTAAATTATACAAAGTAAGTGATAGGTGTATGAGGGCTCTTCACAAGTTCATAGAAAATGTGTGTTATTAAAAAACTATGCATAGATTTAAACATTTTGCATCAAAGCAAATTTGTACTAACTTATTATAACATGTCTGAACAGAATCTTGTTGAGACACTAAGAAGGATAAGACATCAGTCTGAAAAGAGCCCTATCAGAGCAACATGAACATCAAATTTATAATGAAGCTTGGGTGAAATCATTGATGCTTTACCTAAAGGTTATGGGGACAGTGCCCCAAAGAAATCAGCAGTTCACAAATGGATGACTTGTTTTAAGAAGAGACAAGATGATTTTGAAGATGAAACCTGCAGTGGCAGGCCATCTATATCAACTTGCAAGAAAAAAATTCATCTTGTTCATGCCCTCTTTGAAGAGCACCAAGGATTAACAACACAAACAATAGTATACACCACAGATATCTCAGTTCATTCAGTTTACACAGTTCTGATTGAAAAATTAAAGTTGAACAAGCTTTCTACTGGATGGGTGCTAAAACTTTTGTGCTCAGATCAGCTGCAGACAAGAGCAGAGCTTTCCATGGAAATTTTAAACAAGTGTGATCAAGATCCTGGAGCATTTCTTTGAAGAATTGTAACAGGAAATGGAACATGGTTTTATGGATACAATGCTGAAGATAAAGCACATTCAAAACAATGGCTACAAAGAGGGAGAAGTGGTCCAGTCAAAGCAAAATCACAACTGTCAAGAGCAGAGGTCATGGCAATAGTTTCTTTGTATGTTCAAGGCATTTTGCTTGTTGACTTTCTGGAGGACCAAAGAATGATAACATCTTCTTCTTATGAGTGTTTTGAGAAAGTTAGCCAAAGCTTTAGCACAGCGCCTGGGAAAACGTCACCAGAGAGACTTTCTCCGCCACAACAACGCTCCTGCTCATACTTCTCAACAAACTAGGGCAATTTTGCAAGAGTTTCAATGGGAACTCATTAGGTATCCACCTTACAGTCCTGATTTGGCTTCTTTTGACTTCTTTTTGTTTTCTAATCTTAAGAAACCTTGAAAAGACACTCATTTTTATTTTATTAACAGTGTAAAAAGACTGTGTGGACATGGTTAACTTACCAGCACCCTCAGTCCTTTAGGGATGGCTAAATGACTGTTATCATTACTTATAAAAATGTCATGAATCTGATGGTGATGGTATAGAGAAATAAAGTTTATATTTTTTATTTTTATCTTTTAATTCCGTTTTTCCAGAAAAATGTTTTTAGATTTGTTACCTGGGTTTATTATGTGATGCTGAGGTTTGAGGTCTGAATGATCCCATCACCCAGGTAGTGACCATAGTACCCTGTGATTTTTTGCCCCTTTCCTCACTTTCCTCCTTTCTCCATCTAGTAGTTCCCAGTTTCTATTGTTGCCATTTTATGTCCATGAGTACCCAATGTTTAGCTCCCACTTATAAGTGAGAACATGCAGTATTTGGTTTTATGTTCCTCTGTTAATTCACTTGGGATAATGGCCTCCAGCTGCATCCATGATGCTACAAAGGACATGATTTCATTCTTTGCTATGGCTGTGTAGTATTTTATGGTATATATGTACTACATTTTATGTATCCCAGGGGTCCCCAGCCCCTGGTACCAGTCCATGGGCTGTTAGGAACTGGGCCGCACAGCATGAGGTGAGCAGTGGGCAGGTGAGCATTACCACCTGAGCTCTACCTCCTGTCAGATCAGCTGCAACATTAGATTCTCATAGTAGTGCAGACCCTATTGTGAACTGCACATGAGAGGGACCTAGGTTGCATGTTCCTTATGAGAATCTAATGCCTGATGATCTGAGGTAAAACAGTTTCATCCTGAAACCATTTCACCACCTCCCCTCCCCACCTCCATCTGTGGAAAAATTGTCTTCCACAAAACCAGTCCCTGGTGTCAAACAGGTTGGGGACCATTGCTTTATCTGATCCACTGTTGATGGGAACCTAGGTCGATTCCATGTCTTTGCTCTTGTGAATAGGGCTGTGATGAACATATAAATGCATGTGTCCTTTTGGTAGAACAATTTATTTTCTTTTGGATATGCAGCCAGTGATTGGATTGCTGGTTTGAATGTTTTACATTTTAAGTTCTGTTCTAAGTTCTCTGATAAACCTCCAAACTGCTTTTCACAGTGGCTGAAGTAATTTACATTCCCACCAACAATGTATAAGCATTCGCTTTTCTCCACAGCCTCACCAGCATCTGTTGTTTTATGATTTTTTAATAATAGCCATTCTGACTGGTATAAGATGGTATCTTTTTGTAGTTTTGGTTAGCATTTCTCTGATAATTAGTGATTTTGAGTGTTTTCTCATGTGTTTGTTGGCCACTTGTATGTCTTCTTTTGAGATGTGTCTGTTCATGTCCTTTTCCCACTTTTTAATGATGTTATTATTATTATTTTTTGCTTGTAGAATTGTTTAAGTTCCTTATAGGGTCTGGATATTAGATCTTTGTCAGATACATATTATGGGAATATTTTCTCCCATTCTATAGGTTGTCTGTTTACTCTGTTGATAGTTTCTTTTGCTGTGTAGAAACCCTTTATTTAATTGGGTCCCACTTGTTAATTTTCATTTTTATTACAATTCCTTTGAGGACTTAGTCAAATTCTTTCTCAAAGCTTGATGTCCAAAATTATATTTCCTAGGTTTTCCTCTAGGATTCTCATATTTAAATCTTTAGGTCTTACATTTAAATCTTTAATCCATCTTGACTTAATTTTTATATATGGCGAAAGGTAGGGGTTCAGTTTCATTCTTCTGCATATGGCTAGCCCTTTATTCCAGCACCTTTTGTTGAATAGGGAGTCCTTTCCCCATTGCTTATTTTTGTTGCCTTTGTCGAAGATTAGATGGCTGTAGGTGTGCAGTATTATTTCTGGGTTATCTTATCTGTTCCGTTAGTCTATGTGTCTGTTTTTGTACCAGTAACACGCCATTTTGGTTATTGTAGCCTTATGGTATAGTTTGAAGTTGGGTAATGTGATACCTCTGACTTTGTTCTTTTTGCTTAAGATTCCACAAAATGTTTAAAGTCCCTTTTTATATCAGTGTGCCTGTACATATGTGGGTGGAAAAGGAAATGGCAATTATCCTTCTTCAAAAGTCTTTTCCTTTTAATGTGTTTCAGTTTCAGAGATGTGGATTGGGCTGTGGAGGATATCATAAAGAAATTCTTTGGGTGTAGGGCTGTGGGGGACGGTCAAAGCACTGTTTTGAACTTATCATATGTTTAGCCTAAACTCTGAGATCTAAGAAGCATTACACTCAGCCCAGAAATGATTAAATATTTATAATCCTGAATTTTCTACTCATTAGCTGTGAGATTTTGTACAAGACCCTTTGCCTCTGTGACCTCAGTTTCCTGTCTAATAAATTGTGTGTGTTGGGGCTGGAGATGATTGTAGAATTATTGACAGAACTTCTGACTGTAAGTGTATAAAAAGACTCATTCTGTTTTCCCTCGCATTCTTTGCTTAGTGAACTAGAATGTGCTAGTGACTTGGGGATCTATGATAGAAAGTTATTCTATTATGTAATCCAGCTTTTCCAAGAGTTCAGAGGGACCGGTCCCACTTGTCTTTGGATTATAGCAGTTTTGGGGCCTCATTTTAGGCCATATCTCATAAGACAGGATTGAATGCCTGGTGTATTTATTTCCAGTTAGAATTATGAAATGTGAGTATTAGTAGGGACTTGGTGAGTCAGTAAATATAGCCACTTATTTTATATATGAAGACAGCTGAGGCTCAGATAGGAAAAACAGAGAGCTGGAACTCACAACTGAAGACTGACTTGTAGGTCCAGTATTGCTTCCACTACACTGAGTAGTTTAAAAAGATCTTAAAATAATATCTGATATAAGTAATATTAAAATTTGGAAAACATAATGAAGAATTAGTCTCTTTATCTTCCTTTTCTGATAGAAATATCGTTTTTCTAGTTATAAAAACAGTACATACTCATTGTAACAAAATCCAAGCCATTCAGAAGTGCATAGGGAGAAAATGAAAGATTCACTACAATCCCAGTCTTCCACAGAAAAATCACTGTTAATTTGATTCACCATTTTTATGCTTTTCTCTTTCTCAAACATACATACAAAGTTAAAAATTAGTTCATGTTATACATACTATTTGCATCCTACTTTTTCTTAGCAATATTTAATGGACACATGGGCAACAGATGGACATCGTTTCTTGTTAGTACATCTAACTTACTCTGTTTATTGGCTGGATGATAGTTCAGTGTGTTACTGTAATATACTTAAGCAGTCGTCTCCTGATGGATGTTTATATTGTTTTGAGTCTTTATCTTAGGCATTGCTGCAGTAAACATCTTTCTGCATACATCGTTCCATATTTATCTGTTTCCTCATAAGAAGTTTTTGGAAACCATACTTCAAGTTAGTCATAGTATTTAGGTAAAAAGATGGCATAAATAGAGCAATACAGTTAGCCAATTCCTGTAGAAGAAAAAAAGGATATTTCAGACTAAGGGTGATTTTAGGTACAAGTCCACAGAATGCACGAAGCTTTCTTTGGTCAAGCTTTGTAATTTTATAATCATAGTTTTGCAGGATTAGCTCAGTGCACCAAATTCCAGCTCAGTGGATTCCACAAATCCTATCTAGCTGCTCTCTAAATCATTGCTTCCCTTGGCTAAAGTTGACTGTAAATGGATCTAATGAGGTCAAAGACGCCTAGAGTTTAGTTTATTTCTTCCAGCTCACAATAGTTATTTTCTCTTCAGCTTTGTTCTGAGATATGGGAGGTACTACCAATTATGTGTTAAGGAGTCAGGCAGAGGAAAAATATCACTTTCTTACTGATAAATCTCACAATAGTTATTTTCTTCAGCTTTGTTCTGAGATATGGAGGTACCAATTATGTGTTAAGGAGTCAGGCAGAGGAAAATATCACTTTCTACTGATAAATAGCTTCCCTTGGCTAAAGCAAATTCTAAATGGATCTAATGAGGTCAAAGACACCTAGAGTTTAGCTTTATTTTCCACTACAATAGTTATTTTCTTCAGCTTTGGTCTGAGGTATGGGAGGTACTACCACTATGTGCGTTAAGGAGTCAGGCAGAGGAAAAATATCACTTTCTTACTGATAAATTGTTGTTTGTGAGAAAATAAGCTGATGATGTCTCTGAACTGGCTTCTTGCCCAGGGGGCTCATGAGAAAGGGAAGAGCCCCTCACATAGCTTGGATTTTCTATTCCCTTTAGTTGCTTGAACTTTGCATTCTTTGTGATTCCCTAAAATATAGCCCTTCTTTCAGAAGGATTTCATAGCTTCCCCACCCTCCAAGCCCTATCTCAACTGATGTGGTCCTTATCTATGATAAGGGATTGTTGTTTCTTCTTCAGCATGAATCCTTCAGCATGAATCAGTGATCTGAGAGGGAGATTTCGGAAGTCACTTGGTAGGGTAACTTCTTCTTCTTCTTTTTTTTTTTTTTGAGACAGAGTCTTGCTCTGTCACCCGGGCTGGAGTGTAATGGTGCAGTCTGGGCTCACTGCAGCCTCTGCCTCCTGGGTTCAAGCGATTCTCCTGCCTCAGCCTCCTGAGTAGCTGGGACTACAGGCATGCACCACCACGCCCAGCTAATTTTTGTACTTTTAGTAGAGATGGGGTTTCACCATGTTGGCCAGGATGGTCTCAATCTCCTGACCTCATGATCCACTTGCCTTGGCCTCCGAAAGTGTTGGGATTACAGGCATGAGCCACCTTGCCTGGAGGGTAACTTCTTATCTCTGGAATTTCTCTGTCAACATCTCTGTAAGGTCGTCGTCTTTGAGTGGCTCCTATTGGTCGTCAGAATAAAACTTACATTCCTGGTCTAGTGGTTAAAACTGTCTCCAAAGAAGATATAGACGACCTTTCAAATTGTATTTTCTAGCTCCCCAAAACATGCCCTGTACTCCAGTCAGCCTTCAACTTCTCCTCTCTATCTTGGCTGATACCATTTTCTCTATCTGTTAATGTCATTCATATAGCTTAAATGCCGTCACTCTCCCAATATCTTCCTTCCTAAACTACTCTGAACTCCTGTGGCATTTTAACTGCACTTTTTCTATGACACATAGTTTTATATACTATATTGGAATTTTCTATGTATCTACCTTATTTCTCCTACTAGAACCTAAACTCTTTGAAAGCAAGATTGATGTGACTGGAACTATTCTTTGTATTCCTCCAATATCCAGGACATTGCCTAATACTCAATAAGTATTTATTATGGAGTTGAATGGATAAATGAACCCATTCTTCAGTTGAATTACGCTGTGCCAGGAATGCTAGATGAGGAAAGCCATTCTGTTGTGGAGACAGCTTTAATTATCAGGCCATCTGAATCTCATGAACAGAAAACAGTGCTATATCCAGGGTGTCTAGAGCCACTTACTTCTCACCTTGTTCCTAATTTATCACCTGAAAAACTGATCCTGTCAGATGAATGGGAGAAAAGTGGGAAGTCCAACCCTCCATAGACAATCAAAACATCTGCCCAGCTCATACTCAGATGAGTTTCCTGATAGGTTAACATACACTAGTTCTCCGCTTTTATAATTTTGTGCTAAAAAACAGTCCCATATTCCATGGCCCTTATGTTATCTATTTTTAAATGTACTATAACAAACCCCATAGTATCTCCCTTAACATCCTTCTTTTTTAATCTTTACTTTGAGGGCAATTTAGCTAAATTTATAACAGGTTTAACATATGTAACATGTGTAAAAGGTGTCTCACAGGCGGAGACTCTATCTATGTCAGCTTGGTCAGGGACACTGTGTGAGGCTGTGTGGTGTATGACATCTAAGGCAGGAATGCACCATGATGTGACCCTGGGAATGCTGCCCTCTGGAGCTCTGCACTGTACAGTTGGATGGCTGCAATTTAATGTTCATGGACATGCACTTCCAGTTTGAAACTCTGAATTTCTCCTGTATTAGTTTGTTGGGACTGGCATAACAAAGCACCACTGATTGCATCACAGTCTTGGAGGCTGAATGTCCAAGATCAAGGTGTTGTTGGTAGGCTTGGTTCCTTCTGAGGATTGTGAGGGAATGATCTATTCTAGGCCTTTCTCCTTGGCTCATAGGTGTTTGTCTTTTCTCTGATTCCTCTGTGTCTCTTTCTTGGTATTAATATTCCTCTTTGTATAAGGACACCAGTCATATGGGATTAGAGCTTACACCAAATGACCCTATTTTAACTTTGTTACTTCTATAAAGACCCTATCTCCAAATATGGTCACATTCTGGGGTACTAAGTGGTTAGGGCTATAAAATATGTTTTTCAGGGAGGATGGAGGCAACACAAGTCAACCCCTAACAGCCCCTAACAGATGAAAAAAAAAAAAAAAACAAAACAAACAACTAGACCTCTTCATGGGAAAGAGCATGGGGTTCAGAATCAGAGAGAGCTCAATTTGAATCCCCAGCTCTGCCAGTTCTACTTGTACTCAGAGCAGAAAGGAACATGTGGGCCTGCATGCCAAGCCACTTACATAGTATCTTGGGCTAGACTGAAATTAAGAACAGAGCTATAGACAAGAAGGATAATATGGTTTTAATCAGGACACTGAGCCAGAATTTTTTATTATGGACTAGGCTGGGCATTACTCCAAACTCTCCTGATAATGGGACTATGACAGCAATGCTAATTTTCTGCACAATATATTGCAGGAAGTGTGTGTGTGTGTGTGTGTGTGTGTGTGTGTGTGTGTGTGTTAAGGGGACCTGGCATTGCCTAGATCAGTAAAAAAACTGGGCAGGATGGAACATCTAAATGAAGATCCTTCCCATCTTTGAAGGGTTGGGGAAGATAGGGAACTGCACATTATGAACTCTTTTGCAACAATCCTCTGAGACACAAAGACAACCCCCAGATGCTGCCTCTGCTACAAAAAATTATACTGCCCTGCTTCGTCTCCCAGGCATCCTGCTCCCTGTAGTGTCTACATAGGTGGAGCTTTGCACCTTTGAGGATATCCCATGCTGACTTTTGTGCAGACATGGCCAAGGCCTTTACCACAGAACCTCAAAATGCCTAGAAATATAAATATAAATATAGATAATACACACAGACACAGAAACACACACACACACACACAGACATATATGTATATTTTTACATGTTTACTCCAGAGTCCAGAGGCTCATGTGATCTGAGAAAAAGAACTATCAGAAGTTGTTAATATATATAACTATACATAAAAATGTAGACATTTGAACCTTCTTTTTCTATTTCATCAACTTCGAAAAAGTTATCAAGAAGTATTATTCAGGGGGGCGGAGCAAGATGGCCGAATAGGAACAGCTCCAGTCTCCAACTCCCAGCGCGAGCGACACAGAAGACCGGCGATTTCTGCATTTTCAACTGAGGTACTGGGTTCATCTCACTGGGGAGTGCCAGACGATCCGTGCTGGTCAGCTGCTGCAGCCCGACCAGCGAGAGCTGAAGCAGGGCGAGGCATTGCCTCACCTGGAAAGCGCAAGGGGGAAGGGAATCCCTTTTCCTAGCCAGGGGAACTGAGACACACAACACCTGGAAAATCGGGTAACTCCCACCCCAATACTGCGCTTTAAGCAGACAGGCACACCAGGAGATCATATCCCACACCTGGCCGGGAGTGTCCCACACCCACGGAGCCTCCCTCATTGCTAGCACAGCAGTCTGTGATCTACCGGCAAGGCAGCAGCGAGGCTGGGGGAGGGGCGCCCGCCATTGCTGAGGCGTAAGTAGGTAAACAAAGCTGCTGGGAAGCTCGAACTGGGTGGAGCTCACAGCAGCTCAAGGAAACCTGCCTGTCTCTGTAGACTCCACCTCTGGGGACAGGGCACAGTAAATAATAACAAACGCAGCAGCTCTGCAGACGCAAACGACTCTGTCTGACAGCTTTGAAGAGAGCAGTGGATCTCCCAACACGGAGGTTGAGATCTGAGAAGGGACAGACTCCCTGCTCAAGTGGGTCCCTGACCCCTGAGTAGCCTAACTGGGAGACATCTCCCACTAGGGGCAGTCTGACACCCCACACCTCACAGGGTGGAGTACACCCCTGAGAGGAAGATTCCAAAGCAAGAATCAGACAGGTACACTCGCTGTTCAGAAATATTCTATCTTCTGCAGCCTCTGCTGCTGATACCCAGGCAAACAGGGTCTGGAGTGGACCTCAAGCAATCTCCTACAGCTACAACCTACAGCTGAGGATCCTGACTGTTAGAAGGAAAGCTATCAAACAGGAAGGACACCTACACCAAAACCCCATCAGTACATCACCATCATCAAAGACCAGAGGCAGATAAAACCACAAAGATGGGGAAAAAGCAGGGCAGAAAAGCTGGAAATTCAAAAAATAAGAGCGCATCTCCCCCGGCAAAGGAGCGCAGCTCATCGCCAGCAACGGATCAAAGCTGGACGGAGAATGACTTCGACGAGATGAGAGAAGAAGGCTTCAG